TTTATTACATATTACTTTTTTTTACACATATTCTCACCTTCAGGAACATTTTTGGGTTCATTATTTTGGTCAAGAACACCTTATTAGACAGTATGAGTGGATGTGACAGTGCTCCTCCTAAACCACAGGGAATATTAAATATCCCAGTAAGAAGTACAAAAATGTAAAGATGATGTTTTAGCAAGCAACCATAAGAAAACTATGGCAAAAAACAAAGGACAACTGAAACTGACGTTTTGGGGTTTTTTTTTCCAGCCATTTGGTCACAAAATAAACTGTAAGACATTTTTAAACTTGAATCGAATGAAGCTGGATGAACAGTGTGAGGATCACCAGAGTTAATGACAATATGTCATCTGGAGGCTGTTGAAAGACTAAATTGTCTTTCCTTATGAGGCTGTTGAGCTGCAATGAGATTTTTGTGAAACTGAAGCTATGGTATAAAAATCATTTGTTAGTTTTACCCGATACTGCTGGATAAACCAAAACTCACTCAGGAAAAAGGTCACGCAGAGCTCAAGTTTTCACTCGCGAGAGGGAAGCAGTTGTGTCCAACCCACTTCAACTTGCTTCCCCTGTGCAGGTCGTTTTTACTGTTTACACACATAATTCATAAAGCTTGTTGCTGTTTTAACTAAGAAAAATTTGTATATATGGTTACAAAGTGTGTTGTGCAAGCGTAGTTATACGATTTGTGTGGTTATATAATGTGAGTGCAGCCCTCCCAGGATGTTGTCATTATCTTGTTCCGCCAGGTGGCTGCCTTCATTGAGTAGAGTCTGTTCTTCTCAAGGCTGCTCGTTCCCCTTATGGAGGTCGTGCACATACTCATATGTGTGGGTTACATAGGGAGCAAACAAAATTCTAACTTTTTAAATAGCAACCTACAACACATACATTAAACCTAACATCGTTCATAATTATTTTTTTTTTACATTCTGATCCTGATCTGATCTGATCCAGATGAAAAAAGCTTTGGACTTTGTGATACGTCTAATCTCACTAATAACAGTACTTTAAAAAAAGTCTGTTTGTCTGTTCTTTGTGTATTTTTGACAAATATTCAGAGACTTTATTTATTTATTTTGGGCACATTAACAACTCTGACATTGTTAGGATGAGGTTTTCTATTACCAGTGTTCCCCGTTGAGTCACTGCGACATCTTCCACTCTGTGAGGAGATTCTGTAACATTAATGCATTTTTAAGTCTCATGAATATAAGTTTACCATCACCTAAGTACAAAACCTTTATCCTAACCCTCCTTCAACCATAATTTCAGATTGAACCCTAGAAGCAAATGTTAACTCTGGTGAAAATTGTTTTAAAATCTTGGATTTGTTCAGGAGGCTGTGATTTAAATTAAAAACAGGACTCTTCACCACATTAACCTTTTAAGGTGAAAAGTGGTTTTATTACACTGAATGATGCATCATGGCACTCAGACTGTCACTGGTAACAAGCTGTAAATAACACCACATTACAGTCACTATGAGCAGAAATGAATATATGTTTACAAAAAATAAAAGTTATTTAAAGTCAGCTAGTGCTGAAAGTTCCAGTTGCACTCATTTTTCTTTTTTGACATATTTTTGATGGCAGAAGCTCCATCCTCGTTCTGTGAGATATAACTTCCATCCATTATATTTTTCAGGGTCGCGGGGACTATCCCAGCTGCATGTCTTTGGACGGTGGGAAGAAGCCGGAGTACCCGGAGGGAACCCATGGAAACACGAGCAGAACATGCAAACTCCACACAGAAAGGCCCCGGCCTGATGGTGGAATTGAACTCAGGACCTTCTTGCTGTGCGGCAACAGTGATAAACACAGTGCTGCCCAAGATACAACTTATCATATTTAATTTGAGCTTTTCCGTCATCCTCCACTTGATAATCACCTTTTTCATTTCAACACTGCATGCCTTTCTTCAATGACCTATTTTCCTCATGTCTCTTCTTCCTCTCTGTGGCTCCTGATCAGAGTACAAACATAAAAAGAAAAAGGAATTTGCTTCTCCTGAGCTGATCGTTCTGTTTTTCTATAACTGCTGAAATCTGAAGTCGTTAATGTTAATCCACCTCCATCTGATCCTGCTGGTTTTCCTCTCTCTGTTGTTCTGCCTCCAGTTTTTCTCTCTGTGTCTCCTTCTGTGCCACAAACACAGAATTGTTTACTTCACCACTGTTTTCCTCTGCTCTCTTTTTCTCGGTGTCTGACTCTTTCATGTCCACATTTCTCTCCATCTGTCTTTTTTCTACAAGCTGTTCTTGTTGTGTCTCTTTTTCTCTCCATGGTTCCTGATCACTGCTCAGATGAAAAGAAAAATTAAAGGACTTTTCTTCTCCTAATGGCATGGGCTCCTCTTTATGTTCTTCTGAATATTCTTCAGCCTCCATCAGATCTTCATCGTTTTCTTTCAGACATTCTTGTGGTTCTGTTTGAACTGGCAGCTTCTGATGATCTTTGGTCCATTGCATGGGTTCATACGATTGTGATGTTGCAGCATATTGACTGTGAGCTGCATCATGAACATTCATATGATCATCATTTTGTTTTTTCACATACTTTTTTGGCTTTTTAAAATTCTGATGCTTGCTTGCTCTTCTTTCTTCCTCAACTTTCTGTTTCTTGACTGGCAGTGTGCAGACCTCATTCAGTTTCAGTGCATTTGGACGATGTCTACTCTGTCTACTGGGCTCCTCTTTATGTTCTTCTGTAAATGGTGAAAACTGACATCCTAAATCAGTTTCTCCTGCTTGCATCTTTTTCTCTCTTTCACTTTCAGCCACCTCAGCTTTCATTCCCCTTCCTGGCATCTCCTTTTCTTCATCTGTTTCTTGATCTGTTGTAGACTGAAACACTTTTTCAGTCATAATAAACTGATTTATCCTGTCCCTCCCTGTCCTCTGTGTTTTTATGTCATCTTTATTTATCTGCTCTCTGGTGTCCACATTATGTGTTTCATGTCTTCCTCTCCTGCTCTGCTCTTCAAACTGAGGCTCATTCACAGTCACAGCAGATGTTTTTGTTCCTGGACTGTCAGTGTTTCTCCTTTGCTCTGTTTCTTCCTGTTTTTGTTTTTTATCATGATCATTTTGTTGTGTCTCTTTTTCCTTTTCTTCTCTTCCTGTCATGTCTTGTGTTTCTACTGTAATCAAAGACTCTTTGTCACTAACAGTTAATGGATTTATTCTCTTTTCTTGTGGCCTGTCAGTGTCCCTTGTTTGAACTGTTTCTGTCACAGGCTGATTTTGTTGTGTTTCTCCATCTTTACTTCTCTGCTCTCTGATGTCCACATTATGTGTTTCATGTCTTCCTCTCCTGCTCTGTTCTTCATGTGTTTCTTGTTTCATTTTAAACTGAGGCTCAGTTTTAGTCACAGCAGATGTTTTTGTTTCTGAACTGTCAGTGTCCACTTCTTTGCTCTGTTTCTTTTTGGTTTTTTTCATGACCATTTTCTTTTGTCTCTTTTTCTTTCCACTGTTGTTCACATCACCCTTTTCTTCGCTTCCTGTCATATCCTGTGTTTGGTGTTCCATCTTAATCAAAGACTCTTTGTCATTAACAGTAGATGCATTTATTCTCCTTTCTTGTGGACTCTCAGTGTCCCTTCCTTGCTCCCTTTCTGTCTCATGAATATCGTGTTGCGTTTCTCTTTCCGATTTAAAGTTTTTCTCTTCTCTGTTGTCCACATCATCTTCTTCTTCTCTTCCTGTCACTTCCTGTTCTTCTTTTGTTTCTTTTTCTATTGTAATCAAAGACTCTTTGTCATTAACAGTAGATTGATTTATTCTCTTTTCTTGTGGACTGTTTATGTTCTTTATTTGTTCTGTTTCTAAAACAAACTCATCTTGTTTGGTTTCTCTGTCATCTTCATGTCTTTGGTCTTCTCTGCTGTCCACATCATCATCTTCTTCTCTTCCTGTCATGAGTGGTTTGCTTTGTTCTTCCACCACCTGCATCCCACTGTTTTTAGAGCTGATCGTGTTTTTCTTCCTGGCCTGTTCAGCTCCATCCTCCTCACTCTTCTTTTTTTCTGTCAAATAAAAGAAGCAGTAGAAATGGATGAAGCACAATATGAAACAAAGTTCTTGTTGTTTTTTTTTGGTAAATGGGTAAAAGTGAGAAAAAATAAATAAATTACACATTAAAGTATTTGAAGCAACCTCAATAAATGAGCAGTGATTGAGATTTGGTGCCATCTAGTGGTGAATTTACAGATTACAACCAACTGTTTGCCTTGCGGATGCACAGAAACAGCGACAGACATCACCAGTGTTTGGGAGTAACGCAATACACGTACCACCGTTACGTATTTAAAATACACAAAATGAGTAACTGTATTCCGCTACAGTTACCATTTAAAAAGGTGGTATTCAGAATACAGTTACTCTGTTGAAATAAATGGATTACACGGCGGTATTTTCCAGTTTCATATGTTAGGCTATGTCCTCTCTATTTTTGGTATTTCCACGTCGTGGAAACCAAACAAAACATTCATTAAGAGGCTCTAATGTCTGTGTCTCAATCTCCCAGCCCATGTCACCCCTACTTCCGGCCCGCATACTGACCTGAAGAAATATTTTTGAAAGTGATTGTTCAAAAACGTATTCAATATGAAGGCAATAGGCTGAGTGTTACAGGCACAGCCCTAAAGAATGTAGCCTCATGGTCAGTGTAGCCCAGTGGTAACTAAGCTATTAAGACTCGACTGCAGCCTTTCAATGCCTCTCTCTGTCTCTTGCTAGCAGAGTTGACCCGGACAACAAAGTAAAGCTAGTTTTCGGCTACGAGCCCGACATGAGCCAGACGTATTAGCCAGAGGTCCCTTTACTACGGTTCAGAGCTGCAGACCTGTTTTATATACGCACGGAATAGTTTTCTATACGGGATCACTGCAAAAAGTCCAGCCTTACCTAATGTCCACCCTACTGTTACTCATTTTATATTAACATTTAAATATCTAGTTGGTATTGGTATGGCGAGTATGCTTCAGTAATAGTAATAAATCACACAGCCATAGTACATTAATTGTATTTGTTGGCTGTAAGAATGTATGTTGGCTAGGAAAATACAACTAGGAACCCACATGTAGTTGTTACATTACATTCATGTAGTTGTAAAAAGCATGATAATATATTAAATAATCCAAAGTATTCTGTTACGTTACTCTCATTGAGTAACGTAACAGAATACATTACAAAATACTGTTTGGGGCATTAATTCTGTAATCTGTAGTGGAATACATTTTAAAAGTAACCTTCCCAACACTGGACACCACACATGAGTAGTCATCTATATTCTTGAACTATTTGGCTCCATCTATCTTAATGACCTCATAGTACCAAATCACCCCAATATAACATGTTGTCATGAGACTGATATCTAAAATATTCCCTCTCTCATGTTGTCTCCCTCCTCTCCCTTTGTCTTTAACCAACAGTAGCATTGTTTCCATGAGCACCCTGTTTATCAACAGCTCTGGAGACACTTGTTGTCAATCCAAGCCTCAACAGATCCAGTATGGAAATATGGGACCAGCACTGGGAGTACATTGATTTTTTGGGGGGAAGTTTGCGTCCTGTGGGTTCCTAGTTGGTAACAGTTTCTGAATATGTTTTTCTTTTATTTCAATCATTCATTCATTGAAGCCAACATACATTCTTAGAGCCAACAAATACAATAAAGGTTGGTGGATTTTGAGTTTCTCTACTAATAAACAATGATGAGCAGAAGACAACAATTCTACTCTTCAGGTGATTGTTGTGCTGATAGATCCCTTTAAATCTTTTACACTGGACTCAGAAATATTTTTAGAAGTAACACATAAAATTATTTCTTGATAGATTGATTGATTATATGAGAAATAATTATTATTATTATTATTATTTACGAGGGTAAAACACAATTATTCATCATTTAGAGAAAACAATGACTTACTGAATTTTCCTCTTCTCCACTTCCATACAAAGAAAACTGCACCAATTAGAAGAAGAACAACAGCAACACTGACAGCCGAGGCAACAGTGACATTTGGATTACTGATTGGACGACTGGGTGGACCAGAAGGACTGACCAAGAAGAAATCATCTGAAATTAATAGAACAATTCATAATTCATTGTTTACAATATATATTAGTAAAATATCATTCTTTGATTCATATCGTTAACACTTCTTCTCTCAGACCTTTATGGGTCACCACAGCAGATCATATGTGTACTTCTCTCCCTCTCCCAGCATCCTCCTCTGTCACAACAACTCTCTGCACGTCCTACTTCATCCATGAATCTTCTCTGGGATTTCCCTGTTTTCCTTCAGCTCCATCTTTAATCTTTTGTCCAGTATACCCAGTACCCCCTCCTCCACATGTCCTATCTCAGCCTTGCCTCTCTAACTCTGTATCCAAACTTCTTACCTGAGCTGTTGCTCTGATGTATCAGTTTCTAATTTTGGTCACTTCCAATTTAAATCTTTACATCTTCACCTCTGCCTCGTGTCTTTTTGTCAGTGCCACTGTCTCTGGGTCTCATAACCATGTAGTAAACTTTACCTTTCACTCTTGTTGCTATCATTCTGTCACAAAGGATGGCAGACATTGACATTCGTCTCCACCCTGCCTGCTCTCTCTTCTTCACCTCTCTTGTCCACTTTCCATTGCTTGGAATTGTTGTCCCCAAGTTTTTAAAATCTACTTTTAGTATGTCTACTCCTTGCATCTTTAGTGTTACACTTGTTCCCCCCCTTCACAGAAATGAAATTCAAACCATTAAATAAAACATTAGATTGACCTGGAACATGTCTGTGTGTCTCTCTGCTCTGGCTGATTTTCTTCTGCTGGACTCTGCAGGTGATGTTGTTGCTGTGTCTCTTCTCCACAGTCACTCTGCTGCTGACAGTATAGAGGTCATCAGGACCTCTGAGGGTCTCTGTAGGTCCAGCAGAGAGGAGGTTTCCCTCACCGTCCAACCACAGCAGCTCAGGCTCTGGATACCAGCCTGCAGACTCACACTGTAACACCACTCCACTGATGGTTTTATTGAGGCCTGCAAAGCTGATAACAGGTGAGGAGACGGCACCTGGAAAACACAAACAGAACAGATGATGACATTGGTTTATTAGCTATTTAAAAAAAAAAAAGGAAAGAAAAAAAATACAACAACAGCAACAAAAAACAAAACAAAAAACCTCTTGAATATGGTCTGGAGGTTCTTCTGAATGCACTTCTGAATATTAAACCCAAAATATATCTTTATATTTTTTTGTATATATGGTTTATGCATCCAAGGTGAATGGGTAGTGTAGTATTCACAGTTTAACAGCCTACCACCCAAAATAGCAAAGAAGACATTTTTCCACAGAAGAAGGCTGTGCAGCTACTAAAACAGTACTAATGTCAACTTATGAATCAGAGTTTAAGGAAAAGTTCTACTATTTTAAAAATCCAATGCAATTACACTCATAATATTTTCACTTACCAACAACAAGCTGAACTGTAGTGTCTTTATTTAACTCTGGAAAAAAACATCTGTACGTTCCCTCATCAGACAGTTTTACTTTGGAGATTTTCAGTGACATGTTTCCATTCTTCAGTTCGTCTGTGAACAGAGACGTTCTGTTGGTGTAGGACGGATGTTTTATAGACTCCAGTTCCACACCGTCACGCCACACGAAGACAAATCTGGGGTTTAGGTCAGGTCTCGCCCACTCCACAGCCATGTCCAAAGCATCCATAACAGGGTCCAGGTTACATGGCAAAATGATGTCATCACCAATCCAAGCCACTACTGGATGAAGAGGACCAATAACCTCTGACTGACCTGAAGAGAAGAAGTATAATTCCAGTGACACAAAGCTGCTATAACAGAACGGGATTGTGTCTTAGATTTCCAGACTTTCCAGACTTTTTTTACAGCCTGCTTACCAAGTGCTGTTGAAAAGTGTTTGAAAAACCAGCGATTCTCTTTTAAAAGACCAAAGTTCATCATGCACACTGTTTTTTTTTTTTTCATCTTTGTTCAGCTTCTAAAATCATAATATTTGAAGGATTTAAGCCCAAATTTTACATGGGACACCTGCTCATACTGTCTTTTGACTAACCAAAAATTAGAAGACCACTGTCGCCTCTGACACTAACTTCCATCACTTTTTATCCTTTTTAAATAACAAGTCTGTAAAGGACTGCAACCCCACACACTGTTCTTCTGGTTGCACTATGAGTTTTTATTGATTTTCCACTCATATGACTCTTCCCGGTTTGGCACACACATCAGCCAGCTTTTCAGCTGTCTGTACACTCCTCTGGTCTCCAACCTCACTATACAAAGGGAAAACCTCATTAGATCAATCATCTCTACCAGTCCCTCCAACCTCCCTGGCACCGCCCCTTGGGCTCACTGCACCACCCCTCCCCTACAGCTGAGCCAGGGACCACACTTCTGCCAAAAAGTCAATTCTACAACAAGTCTGAGCTGTGTGACAAAACCTTCAACTACCATAGTTCAGTTTTCAGTGTAGTAGTCAAGCTACAAGTCAGAAGAAATTTAAATCCCAATAGTAACAACTACGGCTGTCTATTATGAGACATTATAACTATTCAAAGGTTAAAAAACATAGGTCTTTCAAAGATGAACTGCTCAATGACTAAAACATCTGTCAAAAAAAAGGTAAAAACCCTCTGATTGTATTTTGTTGTCATATTGAAATTTAGTTGAAAAAAATAAAATATTTTCTTAGAAGCAAAAATAAATAAACTCAAGTACAGGTAAAGATCAAAGTGAATAAAATATTTTTTTTTGGTTTTTCAGGGAGGGGGAGAGTGGCTTTAAAGGGATAAAGGAGCATGTGGTGGCTGCAGTGAAAAAAAGCAAGCCTACCATCACTATGTTCACCCTGTGTTTGATGGAAAGATGGTAAGCTTTTGTGCTGCTGAAAACAAGACATTTTCATGATGTACATGTTAATAATTGATAATACTTCAGTGTCCAACCTAACAACCTTCTGGCCAGTGGCTCAGAGTTTTACTGGACCATGTACATTTTTATTTGCTCATGAAATAGCTTTAATTGTTATATTTTTAAATATTAATGCAATTTAATTAACACAATATTTTTTATCTTTCAATCTGAAAAATGTTACGAAAGCCTTGAAATAAATATGATCTAATACATCCCATGCCCGCCTTTAAACTCACCCCTGCTTGTTATGCTTGCAGGTATCACTGTCATGTAAAATGCGATGCCTACTGTCAGTTGTAAAGTGCTTTGGTTGCTCAGGTAGAGTAGAAAAGTGTTATATAAGAACCAGTACATTTACCATTTGGCCTTCAGCAAGCTTAAATGTGGTATCTAAGACTAAGTTAACAGTTCTACATATTTCAATTTAACTGCTGGAGGTTTATTGCAGATTTTTCAATGTAAAACAAACAGTGGCGGATGGAGCAGCTAGAAAGTTTGCTTTTCATCATGTTGGAGTTTGTTGATCAGGTGCTTTGATGACTTCTGCTAGTTTTTCCTAATGGTGAGTACAGGAACAAGACTGCGGTTTTGGATGTTTCTTTCTTCACTCAACTTGAGCTCACCATCTTGATAATGGCTCCACTGTGAATGTTAATGTTTTAATGTCATTTGTGCTTAGAGATATATAATCGTTTGTATGTTGATAAAATATCTCATCCTTATTTAGGTCTGTTAAGGTTCTGTGTGCACTCTGTGCCACATGAGATGGGAGGACGTTTACTCCTTTCTGTTGTTTGGGAAGAGGGGGAAGTTCATGGGAAGGTCGCATCTTGTTTTATGATATATGGTATGGCAAAACAAACACTTTATATCTGTTCAGTTTCATGTCTTAGCTGCCCGCAATTCTCCCAGGAGGCACCTGGCGCCAATCATCTTGGGCGAACTCTTGGGAAGTGGTACGGGGGATCCAGCCCAAGTTCGGCTGGGTTCAAGTGGAAGGAATGGCTTGACCTTGGTCGGCTCCCCTCGCGAGTGGTCACACGAAGAGCTCTGTCTTGTGTCTTGTTTTGTGGCCGCAGTTGGTTGTCTTAATGTTCCAACAAGGTTTGTGCTTAGATAACCTTAACACCCACCTACTTGTTCTTTGTGGTGTGAGTGTAGACATACCCCACGTTAAACTATGACAGCATCATCATCACTGCTGCAATGACGATGAATCAGCAATCTTTTTTTTTCAAAAACTAGGAGCTGTGCAGGCTTTTTTTTAATGCAGGTCTTTTTTAGTCACAATTGTGGGTAAAATGCTCAGGTTTACATGGTGACGACTGAACACTACAGAGCTGTGCATCAAACAAAGCATCAAAGCAAAGAATTTGCCTTCAGGCTTTTTTGTAATGTAATTATTTGAATTACTTGATGAATCATTTCTGCCTTGGTAACATTATCTTATTGAAATCTCTCAATTTCTCAAGTCACTGCTGACTGCATTTTTAAAATATGAATTTCAGTATTGCTCACGTACATCCACATTCAGACTGGAGACAGTTACATTATTAGGCCAACAGGTGGATGTAAAACTTTTTGTGAGTAAATCATTGTTGCAGAAATCCACAACAATAATGATTAATAACTCTGTTACACTGATGTGTTTCACTTACCTCTGCATGGGTGTATCAGGGCAAAGACAGCAGCTGTGTAGAAAACCAGGACTCTGCACCGATCAAACAGATCCATAAAGTCTCGTCCAGCTCTCACATGGAGCATGGTCTGATTCTGAAAGTAGAAATGAAAAAGCATTGTGAGGAATATGTTTGCAGCACCCAAAACCTGTTTAACAGATGCTGAAAACATCATTTTATCAGCTTAATCACCATCAGAGGTCTACCTTGGAGTCTGGGTTTAAAGTGAGATTAGAAGCAATAACATGGATCAATACACAGTATAATGCTATATAAGATGTGTTGGGTGTGGCCTCAGATAATATGACATATAAAAATCTGAATGTGGATTTCTGACAAAATAATGTCATAGTTTTTCACTAACACACGTTGTTTTGTGCTTGTTTCTAAAAGAGTTTTATGTTTTGCATGTTTTACAGAAAATGTTAGGTTTCAAGAAACCAAGCAGTTGTAAAAAACATGTAAGAAAAAGAAACATGAAGCTTTCACCACCAAGATGAAAATTGTTTAAGGTTTTGCTTAGGAGGGACTGATTCACTGTATTATTTTGGGATTTTGAGAGAATGGGAGTTGGCGCCCCCTGCTGCACGTGACGACAGAGTTCCAAGTTCACTTGCAGCGACAGAAATAAACTACAGTATAATCACGATGAGAAAATTAATTGTGCGATTGGTTTGAGTTCGGATTTTAATCATTACACTAAATCCTAGAACAATGACACTTGTCGTTCCTGTTTGATGTCTTTGTCCTTCCTGCTGCAGTCAGCACTCAGTTTAGTTTCACTATCATTTACAATAAAAGAGAGATTCGGTGTAGAACAGATTTATACCGACAAATGTTTATTTGAAATATTAGACCATCTGAAAAGCAGGTTTAAAGCTTTTTTAAGTCACCATTCATATAAATTTTCAAACCTGGCGTTCATCTGCGCACTACCAAGATCATTTCGAAAGTAGAGGAGATTACGCCATTCCCACGGGACACACTACACTATCTTCGTTTATATGAGCACACAAGAAAGTCCGAGCCTAAGACCTAGTATAGGCACAAAATCTGTTGAAGCTTTTGCATACCTGTTTCTGAGCGTCCTCAGCGTAATTTCAGGGAATGCTGTTTCCGGTCACCTGGAGAATGAGGAGCGCTTCCGTGTTTCCTGCTTTTTTTTTTTTTTCTGAATTAACGCACCTTAAGCTGTAATGTATTCCGTATGATTAATGTTTGCTTGCTATGTTTATTTTGCTAAATGTAGACTTCAATCAGCTTCCAGAAATTATAGTTAGACTTAAATAAATAAATAAATGAGTAAATTAAAAAACTTTTTTTCATCTATCACAGTTGATCACTTGGCATGTTTCATCTTTGTCCAGGTGGTGGCGCTGCACGATTACAGGTGAACAATGAAGTGCCAGGTGAGCAAAACGGCTATTTTTTTCTTCTTTGACTTTGGCCTTAATGCCCTAGAGCAGGTTTCAGCACCCCGCTGCTCCAGAGATGCATGTGGCTCTTTCATCCTTCTGCTGCAGCTCCCTGTGACTTTGGAAAATAAATAATAGTATTTAATTAAAATTATTTTTTTATCGTAGTTCATTCGTTTTTAAAATGTAATTCTAAATTTGAAGATTCATAACCTCCAATGTGTGACAACTTGCGGGCATGAGCTTTTCGACCCCTGGTACGTCACCCATGGATAAATTCAAGAAAGTAAAAGTGAAGAAAACAGAAGGTTTGATGCTATGTGGGCAGAGTCATTTGCCTTCACTGAAACTGCTTTAGCAGTATGCTTCATGCGTGGTGAGAAACAACGAAAAGCAAAAGATGTTGCTGGGCATTTCCAGATTAAACACAATAAAGATGAAGGGGATGTCTTACGGTCCTAATGTGCAAACACTGTGTCCTGAGATTTAGGAGCAAACATCACTTTAACCAGGTAAAATAAATATTCTAAATGACTATTATTTTGTGAATATATATTTAAGATTATTCAGTGAAATATTTGATTTTTTTAACCCTTTTATACACGAATTATGACAACGTCAATCAGGATTTTTTTCTTAAGTATTTTTTATTCATCTTTAGGCATGAAAAAAACTTTTTTAGAACTTATTTTTAAACATGTATTTTTCAAAGAGTTTTTTTCATGTCAACTTAGATGGACACCATGCTGACCAGTGGGTGGCAGGGTATGGAGCGACACATCAGTGTCCAATGTAGTGGTTTATGTGCAATTATACCATCAACACTGACACAAATACAAGAAAACAGCATTTGAATAGCTGTCCACTGTAGTGATCACTATGCGTGAAAGGGTTAATTGAGGTATACAGCTGACTGCACGCCCCAGCACATGTGATGAAATGATGACAGCACACAGAAGCATACAACCTTTTTGGTTTGCTGCAGTTGAATAATTTAAGCCTGGCTTTTTATTTCATAAATACAAAGAGGAATCAAACAGATACAGAACATTTTAATTCTACCCACAGGTGTCTTTTTCAGCGTTAAAATACATTTCTTTTTTTTTCTCCAGCAGTTCATTGTTTTCTCAAATGCAGTACACTAAAATTTTCATACACAGTCTACAAATAAAAAATGTAATTGGTGGACTCCATTTCTATGCTAATATCAGATCTTAATGATGGAGTGGGATTTGTCTCACTCAAGATGAACAAACATCACAGGAGTGACTGCGGACAAGAGACACATCAAAAGTTTCACCTGCAGAGTCCAACAAAACGAACATCAGTAAGAGCAGAGAAACACAAACACACTCCAGATAAATCTAAGTTCATTGTGACTGCACTTAGCTATAAAGTCTATATTAACTCCACGTGTTTGATTATTTCAGATTGTTCTCTTCGTGGTCTTCAGTCCTTCTCGTCCTTCTCGTCCTCCAGTAATACAAACATTGAATTCAATTCAGTTTTATTTATACAGCACCAAATCACAACAACAGTCACCTCAAGACGCTTTATATTGTAAGCTAGAACCTGCACAATATACATACACTCTCCAGGTGTAGCTGTTGGCATGATGATATTGTATATAATTTGGATTATTTCTTTATCTTGTCAAGGGCCATGTCATCATTATAAATTGTTTAAGCTGTACATGACTTTATGTTTTGTTATTTTATGTAGTCAAAGTTTTGGAGCTTTTATTTTGAAAGTCAAGCTAGCGTAAAAGTTGCACTACTTTCCTTTTTGGGGGAGAAAGGAGGAAAAAACACATGTAAGCGTGCAGCAAGAAAGGTCTTTATTGAAGGTCATGTTTAATGGGCTTTAACTACACACGGTTAAAGGAAACCTCAGAAGAACGGCGGCTAATTCCCTTTTTGCAGCATGCAGCCAACGAGATAATTATTGATTTATCGTGTTTTGTTGTACAGTGTTATTTTTTTTACGTTGAGTTTTATTTTGTTAATGCTGTATAGTTTTCATGGTGGCTTTGGAGAGAAGTCTTCAAATAAACCAGTGATAGAAAACCACTGGTGTCTGCCTGTGCTTCGAGGGAATTATACTTGGGTTAAGTCAGACTCCATCTACAGCCTCTGTGGCACTTCATTGTCTGCTATACCGATGACTATGCAACCCTGTATTTGTTCATCTTTCTTGGCACCAAAGTCCCAATGTTCTGCTGACTGACAGAGATTTCTAACAAAGGCGTCTACGCTCTCACTGTGACATTGGGAATGGTGATGGAAATTCACACGCTTATGAAGCTTTTTGTGTTCATCAAACTTCTTCACCGCCACCTTATAGTAATGATCATTTTCATCTTCATCTTCATTTCAACTTCTAATTGTGAAAGTACTGAATATAGGTTCTGCCTATTTCATCATTGCAATAACCGTGTATTTACTTGCACATCACAATCCTCTTGGTTGAGTTTAGTAGCAACTCAGAAGCAATTAAAACACTGCTTCCACTGGTTGAGTGAAGTCCAATAAATTAGATGTATTAAACGTTGCCATCATCACTGCTACAACTACAGCTTTGAGACATGACCGTCAACTACTTCTGACACCATGTACAAAATGCCACAAGAACTTCGTGGAAGAGCAAACCAGCACTTTATTACTTTACAGTTGTCATCCACACATGTTTTCTTATACCCCATATCTATAGTTCATAAGGAATTGAATCATTAGTGGGATTCATGCGCGTTTTGGTGATTTTTGTGAGAAATAGTGAACCATTGTGGTTAATCATTAGAGACATGGTGCCAGGAAGAGGTGCTCTGCTTGTTCCTAAGTAAAAACCAGTTTATCAGCAATTCTGTTCGCAGGTCAGAAATTTACATAAAAAACAGACAATACATATAGTTATAATATATAACTTGTAGTATATTATACATAAATGTACCACTTCACTGGTTAATTACATAATCACATGGAGGGGAGTACTTCAAACCATAAGCACTATCTATCATAAGTTTTTTTTGTACATTATTATATATATTATTTTATTAATAAAAAAGCATCAAGAAGTCGCAAGCAAAATGAGAACGCACCGTGGTACATGTTTAAACAAGGAAGGTTTAATCATCAAAATGAATTATTAACCAAAAAGACATAACATCATTTTCTTTTTCACCCAAAAATGTCATGGCTGTGTGCGGGCAGACAGGGAGATAGGACCCAAAATGCAGCACTCTGAGGCAGACGTGAACTCAAACACACAGCTTTATTGCTGGAGCAACGAACAGAAACTAAACTAAACTGAGAATACAAAAATAAACTGGGCAGGCAGACGGACGGAACACACAGATAACGTAAGAGTATGACGCAACACTGAGCAAACATAAGAAACTCAAAATGCTGGGTCAACACTGACTCAGAACTGTGACAAAAAAACACATGTGCAATGCTTTTGGGATATTAGGACCACCAGTTTTAAAGTACAGCAGAAATTAAATAAGCCTATATGAGACTGCTTGCTGTGTTGTTTTAAAAACAACAATGACAGCACAAAGAAATGCATTTTTGAAGATTAAATATTCAGAATTTATTTCCAGGTCTGTGTTGACGAGCATAACACATTTTATTTGAATGACGAACAGGTTTTAACAACTGTTAAGCACGTTGTTGTGTGCTTTTTTTTTCCCAGAAGAATTTGATGTTTTGAGAGTATAAGTTAATTTTCTAATTTTACCAAGTAAACATTTCAAAAAATGTGCCAAACAGTTGTAAAACAATCTGTAATCTGTAACACTATCTGTAGTGTCTTTGTTTCCGTCTCTTAATTAAATCACTATCTTTTTCATTATTAAAAAAAATTATAATTTTAAGTAAAGTTAACATGTATAAAAAGGGTGTGGAAGTAAGAAATATGTTAACAGATGATATGATCTCTGTGTGGCATATGTTAATATCATATGTTAAACTTTTTCCACGTAATTATTATCATTATCATTCTGTGGTTTCCGAATTGCTGAAATTATTTTTACTCTCCTGACCTCCCCTGCCTCTTTTTGTCCATGCATTGTTGGCTCAGGCCTTCTGGCTCTGGCTCAATGCATGTAAATGACATTGGCAATCAGCAGCAGGTGTGAACAATTGTGAGTTGTTGTGTTTAAATAGTGTTGTATTTGTTGTAGTCGTGTTTAGTTGTTGCCTCCAGTTGCTTCGATCCCGTGTCATCAGCAAATCACTGTGAAAAATGGGTTTCAGTGACTGTTTAGAGTTTTACTGAAAAGTGACTGATGTCATGTCAACATGATGTCAAAACTGTGTGAACAAGATAAAACGTGTTTAAGGTTTGGAAGAAGATAGACTCATTCAATGAAATATTTTAGGAATTTGAGACAATGCAAGTCTCTGTTTTGTAATCTGGCGCCCCCACAGCTGGACATGACGTCAAAGGTAAACTTCGTAAACAATAAATCCTGGAAAAACAACACTTTTCTTTCCTGTGTGATGTATGTGTCCTCTCTGCTGCAGTCTCCGCTGAGTTTAGTTTCACTGTTGTGTGTAAAATAAAAGAGTGATACAGTGGAGAACAGATCTCTACTGAAACCTGTTTATTTTAAATATTAGACCATCTGAAAAGCAGGTTTGAAGCTTTGTTAAGTCAGCATTGATTTTTAATTTGTTGCGGTTTTTTAATTTGTTGCGGTTTTTTAATTTGTTGCATTTTTTTAAATTTGTTGTTGATTTTTAATTTGTTGCAGATTTTTAATTTGTTGCGTTTTTTTAATTTGTTGTGGATTTTTAATTTGATGCAGATTTTTAATTTGTTGCTGTTTTTGTTTTTTTTAATTTGTTGCGCTTTGCACTTCCCAGCCACCGTAGTTCCACATTAAACCGCGACCGTCGCCAGGTAACTTGGTTCCCCTTCAGCTGTTCCCTATCAGGTGAACAGGCTGTAACTTCAGGGTCAGTCGAGCTGATCGGTGGTGCCTTGAGGAAGACGTCGGCTCGTTATCTGTAAGAGAGGGTTACCAGGCGGAATACTTTGTAAAAAAAAAAAAAAAAAAAAAAAAATTAAATTAAGATAATTTTCTTGTCTGAAGATAATATAATGTTGATACGCGTATGCATTTGCACGAGCTGGAGACCTTTTTTTTCCCTGAAGTGAAAATGATGAATCTGCGGATTCAACATTTGGAACAAGGAGAGTGGAATATGTAAACAAATCTAATCGGTCCAGCCGTCAAAGATATGCGGAAGCTCACCTTTTGCAGCAAGTGAGCGGAAAGAGTATTTACTCTTTACTCTTTCTTTGATTTTGGTCATTGATCGCTGACAGGGAGCTTTCCGAAATACTGGGTTTGCAGGTATGATTCCATACATGTGTATAATGT